TCGTGCGCAGTGGAACTACTGCGACTCGGATGAAGCCCGGACCCAGCATCTCTCGCAGGCTCTGAAAGACCGGCTTCTGGACGAGACTGAGCGTGGGCAGTACAACGTCTCGGACGACTTCCCATGAAGACATTCCGGGGTCTCAAGTCGAGTAGAAGCCCGAGGCTTCTTTGATATTGCATGTCTAGCGTAGCGCTAATCCACTTGATACACTCGACTCATTTGCATATCCACACTTCAGTTCCAGGTTCCTCTTGTCATAGTCATTTCGAAATCCAATCTTTTAGTCCGAGTGCTCATCATTCGCTAGTCATCGTAGTTCACGAAAATCATCACGTGATTCAGGTTCACGTTCCACTTCTCCTTCCGGAAAGCGTCTCCACACCTCACATCTCCAAATTCCAAACGTAATCGCACCGTCAGTCGCCAGGTCGAGTCACAATCCAGGATGTCTATCCCATTCTAGGTCGCCGTTCGGAGTGGTTATAGCCTGGGGTGGTCATCCCCGGCTTGCATCGCTCGAAAGCAAGCCTTAGCCTTCGCCCCTTGGTCGAACTCGTATAAGAGGGCACCACAGTTGAGCTGGGAAAAGGGAATCCATTCCGGATCTCGATACCCTTTCCACTTGATTTGGTATTCGCGAGTGCGCTTAGACGTCTGAGTGCGTTTCACCCAACGGAGGTCAAGAATCTTCTCCACTTCGTAAACGCCATTCAGGTTGTCCGGCTCCCAACTGTCCTCAGGAAGTAGCGCGGCATCGAAATCCAGGTCATCTTCCAGGTCGAGCTCTTTGCGTGGTCTCCGAGGGTACACAGCTCTTGGTTTGAGTCCGCTGATGTGAACCCAGGGATTCACTCGGTATCCCGAGCCTTCAACCTTGAGCTTGACCCGGAAATCATCTCGGATTTCGTCGATCCTGAATGGTCCGCGCCACTGGTGCGCAAGCTTCTTGCTCAATCCGGGTTGCACGCGGGGTATGTATAACCACACCGCATCGCCCTTCTCGAAACCCGCCTTCAATCGCTCTGACAGTTCCTGCCATTTCTGCGTCTGCTTTTCAGAACGGGCACGCTTAGCTTTCCTCTGGAGATCTTCG